GGGGACTCTGACAGCCATCCTCCACTCTCTTTAGCTTTTTCCGAATGTCCAGAGCTGACTGTGAAATAAAATGAGGGGCTAGGAGAGTGTGGCCAGCTGGGGACTCTGAGTCAAGTCTAGTATATTTTTGGAAGGCCTCTGAGAGGCAACTAAGAAAAGCCACTGTGTTATCGGTGGACTCTTGGGTGATTTCTCTCAGTTTGTCTGGGTTAGAGGCCTTTTGGGCCACCCCCTACAACCCCCCCGGTGATGCATGCTATATAGTGATCACGTCTGGCCTGGTCTGTGGAACCATCCTAATAGTTCCATTGGGGGTCTGTGGTAGGCATAGCCTCTGTGCCTGCCAGTGTGTCATTTGGCTGTGCCAACTGGGCTTCTGTAGCAAAGACCTGGGCTGCCTCCTGTCAGGAGATAAGGTGGAGGAAAGAATGACGTGGACATCATGCCAAGGGAGATCAAAAGTCTGTGTAATGTAGCAGAATTGTTTAACATACAAGGAGGGTTCGGAAGTGAAGTCAGGAGGCATTGTTCAGTTTGAGAGAGTTCTGATAAGGAGAAATGGTAGTGAACTCGAATGGGGCCTCAGGCCCTGCCACCTCTCGGAGTGGGAGAAGGAGGGGGCAGGGCGTTGTCCCGGGACTGGGTGAGCTGCCAGGTGGGGGGGGTATAGGGGGGAGGATGAGAATGAGAATGGAGAGAAGCAGGCCCTGGAGAGCCTGAAGGAGGAGAGGGAGCATTGTCTGAAGTAGAAGTAGAAGATGAGGGAGGGGAGGTTGGGGTGTTAGAAGTTAAGTTAGTCTTGGTTGGCTGAGGCGAGTATGGTGGAGGCGAGAGGGCCGAATGGTAGTCCCCCATGTCATCTAAACGGTTTGGTCTACTAAGTGTTAGAGTAGAAGACTTGGCCCAGGAAGTGGAAGGCTTTGTGCGTGCTAGAAGGACTTGGGTAGTTTGACAGTTTTTTAGGAGAGAGGGACAAGAGCGCATGCAGAAGAAAGCCTGGACATAAGGGATCTCAGACCACTTTCCATTGCAATAGCAAAAACTATAGAGATCAGTGAGAATTTGGTAGTCAAAAGTTCCATTTTCTGATCATTTGGAGCCATTGTCTAAGGCGTATTGTGGCCAAGCTGCATTGCAGGAAAATTTTAAGCGTTTTGACTTAATATCTGGGGTCAAACCGAGGGGTTTGAGAACCTTTAAGAGACATTCTAGAGGGGAGTCTCGAGGGGTGGAAACCTCATTACCTATGTGAGCACGACCAGTTAGTAGCCCCTGGGGACAAAAGTTGACACCAGGTGTCCCTGTAATCACCCTTAGTCCCCCTAGGGACTGTTAATCCCGGAGGGAGTAAGCGGGAGTGTCCAGCGTCCTAGGCGAACCTGGACCCCAGTGAAAGGTGAGTGGCCTGCAGAGACAAGGGGCGTCCCTGCTTGTACTCTGCAGGTAGAAAAAAAAAAAAAAGACATCTAGAAAGGCCAGCACAATGAATGGGAGGCGTAGGAGGGCACTTTTAGGGAATACTCACTGGGTGACGTGGGGGATCCGCTGACTGTGTATTCGTGGTCCATGAAAGTGCCTTTGTCGGGTGAAAAGGGCAATAAGTGTAGAAAGAATAAAGGGAGGGAGGCCAGAAAGCCCTGGGGATCAGGGTACACTCAAATTGACTGTTCCCGCCTGACTCCTCGGGGAATCTAAAGAGACCTTTGGCATAAGGGTGTGTATAAGCCCCACGCCTGGTAGGCCAAGCCTATAGTCACTGGCCAAGTCTCCACTAAGCCATGAGGGTCTCAAGGACAAGGACACAGTCCCAGCCAAGCCCTAGCCAGTATGCTAGAGCCTGGGTAAGAGCTGTTCACTCATTCACACATCCACACGCACAGGAGCACCCCCATCACAGAAAAGATTCAGGGGATGGCTCTACTCAGCCTTGGCCTAAAGGTCTCCTCTGAACTTGAGGAAGAAGAGACAGAAGATACGCAAAAGAAAGCGGAGAGAGAAGAGTAACATTAAGAGAAGTTGAGGGTCAGAGAGCATGTGGTCTTGGATCTGGAGCAAAAGCCTCTCCTGGCCGGAGGGCGGATGCAGGGAGAGAGCTTTTTACTCCCGGGTTTCGGCACCGGTGAAAGGTTAACCAAAAGGAATGGTGAGGGAAAGCTTGGTGAGAAATAAAGTGTGAGATCAAGGATAGCAAAAGCAAGAGATGCTTATTGTGCTCTCGGGCAGCACCTCGGGACCAAGCCAGAAGATGTTGCGTCGGTGGAGGGTTTGGGGTTTCTCAAGTAGGGCTAGGATGGCCGGGGGCTGACGTGGCAGAGAGGTCGGGGTGGCTACCTTATTTGGGTTTTTTTTTTTTTTTTTTTGCCTCCTTGTTCGCCCAATGGTTTTTGGTGCCAGGGTGCTATATCTGGAATTGCTTTTTTTTTTTTTTTCTCTTTTGGTGTAGCAAAGTTTCCCGGAACTAGGGGCAGTGAGGCTTCCTGGAACACCCAGTGTGTGGCCTTCCATGGTGGTGGGGTGAGGTTGGGAGGTGTTTAACCTAACACTACTTATGTACACTGCCTCCATCTTGTCCTTTCTAGTTATATCTTTCGTATGATTGGCTTACAAGTCAAAAAAGACTCCTTTTGACCTCTCCAAGCTCTGTTGACTGACATTTTCTTTCTTCTTCTTTAAAATAGTTGAATGCTGCAAATATTTAAATGGAGTAGATTTTGAAATTGATAGTTCCACTTTTGAAAATTAACATATTAAAGTTTAGATGCGGTACTATTCCAAAAACTCAAGCCAAAATGGCAGATCTTCTTAGAGCAGAAAACATGAACTTTGATCTTGCCACCATCCCCTACACCTTTTGTCTCTTTTCATTTATGTTGCTACCTGCCTTGAGCTACAATCAATATTTTTTGGTAGGGAATCTGTCTCTTCATGCCAACATTCCATTTGCTTTTCACCCTCAGCCACCTCAGTCTCCCATGTTGGGTTATTGAACACATCTTGTAAACACGATTCTTCAGTGTCTAATTCCTGCCTTCATTCCCTGCCCCTCCTTACAAGGGTTTGTCCAACTTCAGCATCTTTCTCTATGTGGGACCACATGACATTTATGCAGTGACTTAGATATTTGGCTCCCACAATGCTTTAGGCACACCCTAAAATGTTGTCATTGTGCTCTTTATACCTAGTCCTCAATTCCTGCATTTGAAAGTGAATTTGGTAAGTCTTTTACCAGCTGGGTTGCCACCATACATTAATGCATTTTCTCTATTCTGGAATTTTTTCTATCCTTGGAGGAGTGGAATTGCTGGATAAAAACCCCAGAAGTCTATTTATACAACTGAGGCTATTGGAAAGGAAGGGGGAGGATAGAGAGCAGGGTGTGAAAGTGTTAAGGGGAAGGATACCTAAAGGAATTCTGCAGAGTTCTGTGGACACTACCCCATACCCCAGATTTCTGGATTCCACCCCTTATGCCAGTGATTTGGAAAACTACAACTCCCAGCAGTGCCAAGGAGAGAACTGCAAGGACCCAGGGCGGAGCTAAACAGGGACTTTGGTGATAAATAGAGAGCGGTTTTTCAACTGTCGCTCTGGAGAGGTAATGGGCTTTCCGTCTCTCTGGAGCAATGGCTCTCAGACCTTGTGACTGGGGGCTAGCAGTTTTAGTTTGTTACTAGAGCTCCAAGTTAGCCAAGTGTGCAAGATATTCCAATTACTTTGTATCCCTCTCTTTCCCTGGGTTGTTTCCTTTTCCTTTCCCCTTTTGTAAATAAACCAGTTACCCTTTTGTGTGTGTAGGCAGGCAGAAAATTAAATTTTAAGGATCTGGGTGAGGACCCACAGGCAGGCAGCTCAGTTTCACTCTGGGCTACCCTGTAACAAAAGGAGACAGACTAGTAGGCTATGGTGGAGAACTGTAGGTGCCTGGGTGGTGAGTGTGATGTGGTGATTGTTAGGTCTGCACCCAAAGTTCCATCGCACCTCTCTACAAGGAAACAAAACAACTGCAAATATGGCAACCAGGCTCGAAGCCTGTTGGGCGAAGGAAGAGCGAAACAACCCCAAATAAGGGAACCAACCTAATCTCTGGGCCATGTCAACCTCAGGCTGTCCTACTCCTGCATAAGGACCCCTGCTTTCTCAGCCAGTGCCACACCTTCTGGCTTCCTCTGGAGGCGCTGGCCAAGAGCACAATAAACTTTTCTTACTTTTGCTCTTTCTGGCTTCACACTTCTTTTCAGCCAACCCTCTTCTTACTGAATCTTTTCTGTCACCCTTTCAGTGACATGTATCTGAGGAGGTGTGGTCAATGACATGAATCACACATGGTGAGTAAACCAATGCTATTTAAAAAATAACTAATTACTTTAAAAAACACACACACAAAAAAAACTGTGGAGTAACTGGAAAAAAAAGGAGCAAAAACCACAATATACAAAAGAGAAAAAAGAAATCAACACCATTAAAGTTTCAGGGTTTGATGATAATAGATTCCCCCCCTTAACTATAACATAAAAGGAGCTAAAAATTTTTATGATTTAAGGTCTGATAAACTTCTTCCTTAGGACATAGAAAATGGGAAGGATAAAGGATAATTGGCTTCATCACTTCTATGCAAGCTCAGTAATGACTTGAGAAAGAGACAAAGTTTCGCTATCACAGGATGCACATCTTCCCTACGGGAAAATAATTTTGTTGATTTCAAACAAAGGATTAAGTCCTCCATCTTCTAAAATGAATGAAACACTCTGCATTTAGTTTGAAATTTTGGTAAAGCTTCCAAACTCTGATAAAAAAATATAATTAATAATATATTCTTTTTTTTCCCCGGTTATAGATAAGCAGCTTACAAAACATTCCTGAAACGTGAATGAAGAATAATATTTAAATATAACATTATAACATCTCTCCTCGGTGTGTCTATTTTACATCAAATACTGAATAAACCGAAGTGTCTAGGAAGAAATAAGAAATAAGTGATTTCCACAGTCATTTCCTTTGCCATGGGAGTGCTCATGTTCAAGCAGATCTTCTTCAGAACCTTTGTTGGAGTCCACACAACACTTCTTCTGCTTCCAGTCTGTTCGACGCTGAATATTACAGCGTCTCCTTTTTTCCCAGATACTCCTTTCCTCTGGGTTTGGAATGCCCCAAGTGATTTTTGCGAGGAAAAGTTCAATATAAAGATAGATTTGACCTTCTTCGGGTTAGAAGGAAGCCCCCGGAAAGCCGTGGTAGACCAAGGTGTTGCATTATTTTATATTGACAAACTTGGCTACTATCCTTACATAGAGCCACGTACAGGTGAAAATGTGAACGGAGGAATCCCCCAGTTGGGATGTCTCCAAAAACATTTGGACAAAGCTACGAATGACATTTGCCATGCCATAGGCGCAAACAACGTGGGCTTGGCTGTCATTGACTGGGAAGAATGGAGACCCATTTGGGCAAGAAACTGGAGTCCTAAACATGTGTACAAGGATCAATCTATTGAGTTGGTTCTCCAAAATAATGTAAAACTTACTTATGATCAGGCCTCTAAGATTGCCAAACAACAGTTTGAAGAGGCAGGAAAGAACTTCATGCTAGAGACTTTAAAATTGGGAAAATCACTACGGCCTAAATACTTATGGGGTTATTATCTTTTTCCTGATTGTTACAATCATAACTATAACAAACCTGGTTACAATGGAAGTTGCTTTGACTTAGAAAAAAAAAGAAACAATGAGCTCGCCTGGTTGTGGAAAGAAAGCACCGCCCTTTACCCATCCATTTATTTGAATACCAGAATAAATGGTTCCCAAGTCGTGCTCTTTGTCCGGAATCGGGTGCTGGAAGCCCTTCGGGTGTCTAAAGTGCGAAACAATAATGACCCACTTCCGGTGTTTGTATATTTCCGTCTAGTTTTTACTGATAAGACTTCAAGATTCCTTTCTCAGGTAAGTAAATCAAGGGATGAAGGCTGTGAAGTAGTGTCCACTGTGGTGGTCAGTGAGTTTAACACCATTTTCGAAGGAAGGGAAATTTAGCGTTTAAGAGCCTTTAGGATAATGCACGCAAGTAGTACACACATTCCTTACTTGCAAAGTAAGACTGTTTCATCTCTAATGCCTTTCTAATCATGGAGAGAATAAGTAACAGGCAACGTTGAAGTCAGTTCCTTTTTCTTTCCTGGGCTTGCTCCCCTCAGCAGAACTAAGATCATATAAGAGCTCAGTATGTTACTTATAGTAAGGTAGTGGTCGTGTAAAACATGGTACTGGGAAGATTTAAAAATGTTATTGTGGGCTCTGCAGCTTAGGTGTTACTATTTCATGGCTAACATTTCAAGTTAGTCCCATGTGTTAACTCTCTCTATTGCATCTGCCAGGATGACCTTGTGCACACAATGGGAGAAAGCGTGGCCCTAGGTGCTTCTGGAATGATCATCTGGGGAAGCTTCAATTTAAGCCGAAATTTGGTAAGTTGTACTGGTAGGCAATGGATCAAAACATTTCTGTTTTTAATGATTTGGGATATTGTTGTAGTGTTAAATAATTAAATGAATACTATGCTTAGCACATGAATACTGGCTGAATTAGATTTATTTTCATTTGTGTTCTATCAGGAAGCAGAAACTCTGTAGCTGTTCCCAGTCAGCAAACAAATCAATGAGTTTAAATAATTTTTTTTTTACGCAGATGCCTAGGAAAGGGCTAACCCAGGCCCAAAATGTGTTTTAATGACACAGTGTTTGCTTTATTTCTACCACACCTGTCTGCCCTTTTTTAAAAGAGGGCTGCGTCTCCTCTTTAAAAAGTTGCAATTAGTCAATATGCATTCCTTTGTTCTTGCCTTCATCTAACATCTGTTCATTGAGCAATTATTTGCTTGATTATTACTGAATGACAGTCAGTTGCAGGGGTCAGCATTGGAGACTGTGGACCAGAACTGGCTTGCTGTTCCTTCATCCAGCTCTTTGGTGAAGAATCATTTATAGTTTTAACAGGGGGAATAGTCAAAAGAAGAATAGTATTTCAAAATAAATACAAAATTATGGAAACAAATATGCCCCTATGTGTCAGTAAAGCTTCATCGGCTCATAGTCCTGCTTTTGTTTTGAGGTGCCCAGGGCTGATTTTGCACTTTCAAAGCATGAATGTGTAGTTAAGGCAGAGACTGTATCTTTTACAACCTTTCAGATGTCAAATAATTTTTAAGTGCTGGAAATGTAACTGTGACCAAGTCACTGTTCCTCTGCCTCCATTCTCAGAGCTGGGGAAACAAGCACAGATAGAGTGGTCAGGTAGCATGATGCACCAAAGAGCCAGGGCGCAGAGTGCACAGAGTGGAGAGTGCGGGAATGGTGTTATTTTGGTTGAGGCAGTCACAGAAGGATGCTCTGGTGAGGTGGTTGCAGCAGAGATCCACTGAAATAAGGGACCAAGATACCGGAGGTAAGTTTTCGCAGGCTGGGATGTGCTTAAAGCGTGAGAAGGCCAGTGGAGCTGCAGTGCATGAGTGAAGAAGAGACAGATAACAGGTGTGGTTTCGAGAGAGCAGGTGGTCACACATGGGGCTTTTACTCTGAGAGGGGAAGCTGCCAGAATCTTTGAGCAGAAGAGCGGCACTTTGGGATGAGCCAGATGGCAGAAGGTGAAGGTGGCAGGAGGGAGAGGGAGCCCTTGCGGGCTTGGGCCGTAGGTTCTGGGCAAGTGTTTGGCGGTGACTGGAACCCGACATTAGAATGGAGATGTTGAGGGTGGATTAGAGGAAGAGTCAGAAGATGCCCCCAGATGTCAGACTTAAAGGAGGGACCTCTGGAGGGGAGGGACTTCAGGAGGAGCAGTGCAGCTGAGGCTGCATAAGGAGGAAGAGGGACAGGGTGGGGAGGGGTGTGTGAGGAGGGGGTGGGGAGAAGGGGGTAGGAAGGAGTGTGGGGGAGAGGGGTGTAGGGAGAGGGGGATATAAGGGGAGAGGGGTATGTTTGGGGGAGAGGGGTGTGGGGAGGGGTGTGTTGGGGTAGAGCGTGAGTAAGATGGAGCTGCAAACAGGCTCGTTGTTGAATGTACTAAATTGTTTAAAGCTTTCCTAAGGGAGAGGAAAGAGACCTTTCTTACTTCCCACAGGTTCTATTCAGTGTCTAGTTTAAGGATAACCGATCCATTAGCAATATTTACTTGTCTATTCTCTGGTGTGTGTTTTTTTTTTCCATCTCCTCCAAATGCATTTTCTGGAGCTCAAAAAGCTTTCACTACTATGATGTAACCTTTGTCTCTCTTCCTTTACTTTCACCTTCTTCTAGTTCTGTGTATCAGGTCTTTATCCTCCACCTTGTCAAACCTTTTGACTCAAAGCAAGAGTAAAGCTGTTGCATGGATCCTGAGGAACCAAAGCTGACCTTGTCCTTGATGGATGTGGAGATGTTGGTGATGGGCCTGCCGTGGAGAAGGGAGGCTCCGGGGGGGGCTTAGCCTGTGCACAGATGGAGAGAATATGTGTTCTAAGGGCAGAGCAGATCTTTTGATCTTTTGTCCTTTGGACAGAATAGCCATCATTTTACTTCATGTGTAAAATATAGCTGCCACCATTGATAAATTAAAACAGTCTCAGCTCTCCTGTCGATTTGGTTTAGATCTATCTAGACCACTAGATTAATATATATATATATATATATATATATGTATATATATATATATATAATAACTTTCAGAGAAGCAGAATTAGTCTCTCATATAACTAAGCTAATACCTTAGCATAGTCTTTCATATTTAGAAAATTATTTAACAATTTAATTCTCCTACTTATAGCCATAATTTTCATTATTTGTTTACGAAATCTACAAACTCTGGAGGATCTGATAATTCTGTGATGGGGCCACTTAAAGATTTTCCTTCCTACATCCTTTTTTAGTAAAAGGAACTCAGGACTCTGCTCTTACTCAGATGAGGAATGAATCAGAAATTCACTCATTAGTACGATGAATTGACGTACTATTTAATTGTCACACTTTTTATTGTGCTTTAATCTTCACATTCTTCTGCGGTGACTCTCAGATCATCTTCACTATTATTCATACAGGAGGGTCCCTCAACCTCAGTCGGTTATTGTCACCTTCATAGCACTGTCTTGGAATAGTCACTATGTACAGTGTTCTGTATATTTTTGCTCCCTATCCCAATTTATGGTCATTTTGAATAGAGTTGTATCAATATTTCTCCCTTTCTTTCTACATTATTTGTTCATTAGCGCAATGGATTATTTTTCATGTTTCCTCTGATTCATTGGCAACTTGCAAGCCTTTAATTACAGGTTTACTTGCAGTGACTGGAACTGACATAAAACAAATATTTCATATGTAAGCAAGCCATTTGCTTCCACTCTATTTTACTAGCTCCAGTGATGGGAAGGAACTAGCTTCCGTTGGTTCCTGTTCATAAGACCTGATTGCTAACTATTCAGAAATGTCAAAAATTCAGAAATTCTCATCATTTACAGCTGTTATTAAAACTTAAATTATAAAACAAAAAATGAGAAGAGTAAATAATGTGAACAAAGTAAATGCTCAAAACGTATCAGTAAGTTGCTTCAATGTGCTGTTATCCCTACACCACGTATTGTTTTGGATAACTGGACGTGTTTTATATTACTGGGACCCACACTGCACTCCAAATTATGTAATAAGAGGGTATTTGCTTCCCAGTCTGCACCCAGTGATGTCTGGCTGGGAGCCTGAAATTGACCTGGTTATACTATTTATACCATGTATGTTGCTAAATGCCAGCCCTTACTTGTAGAGATTCTGTTTAGGTCTCTCAAAAGACTGCTTCTTGGATAGGCTAATGACACTCCAAACTGTTCCCATCCTGCCTTCCTCTTTATGGCCAGCTTCTGTTGGTGGACAATGGCAGAGTGATCTGTGCTTGGTGTAAATTCTCCTACAGACTTTGCAATGGGGGTAAGTGGGATGATGGAGTCCCTGCTCACATGGAGTTTATGTGAGCTTTGGAGGAATAGAAGCAATATACAAGCAAGAGAAATGTTTGATGTTAAAGTGTCTTGTAAGAAAATAAAGGGTGAGGTGAGAGAGTAGATAGGAAAGGTATGTTGTGAGCCAGGCATTGTCTGATGAAAGTGGACACCTACAGAAAGGTAAAGTCAATCATTTTAAAAGTTAAAGGAAAGAATACTTCAAGAAACGCGACCAGTAACTATTGCTTGAAATGAAGTGACCAGCTCATGAAACAACTTGTATGTCCAGTGGGTGAAGGAATGTTATTGAGAGGAAAGAAGGACTAATCATATTAATGTAAGAATACACAATGAAAAGCTATTGGAGTGTTAAGAAGAGGTCTTCTATCGGTGCTATAAAAATTACAACAGCGGTTTTAAATCAGTAGAAATTTTTATCAGAGCGTTTCAGGTCAGAGGTACAACATGGGTCTCAGTGATCCAGACCAAACCGAGGCCTCAGCAGGCCACAGTACTTTCCAGGGCAGGGTCTGGGTTATTGCTGTTTGGCAGAATTTCATCTCCTCTTGCTGTCCGCTATGAGACCTTTGGGTTCTGGTAGCTGCTGGTGTGAAGACGGCACATTCCTCAGATCTTGACCTTCTCCTCCATATTACAAACCAGCAATACTGGGTTGATTTTTTCATACTTAGTTCTTTCCTCCTTGAATCTCATTTTCTAAAGCCCAGCTGCAGCAGTTCTGGGTTTATGAGAACTGGACTGAGAGGATCCTGATAATTCAGCTTAAACTCCCCGTCTCAGTGTTCACACCCCTCATCCTACCTATCAAGTTCTTTGTCATGTAACAGAGTTTCAGGTTCAGGGAATGGATTGTGGGCAGCTTGGACGTTATCCTATGGAAAGGAAGGTAATTGTAAATAGATTCCATTGGGAGCTACCAAGATTCCTCCACCTGCCTGCTGACCTACCACCACTTGCTGGCTCTGCTGAAGAGGAAAATTCCCACCTCAGCACTGTCATTGAGAAAGAAAGTGACTATCCTCTGTGTTTGTAAAAGAATAGTGTCCCCTGTTGTGGGGGTGGGGTGGGGAATGGGATAAAAAACGGGGGGGGGGGAGGGAAATGCACGGGACTATGGTGGTGGCACACGGGTGATTTGGTGATGGGAAACCCGTGGGGATTACAATTGAGATGGAAAAAAAAATGTGCAAAATGATGTAAAAATAAACTTTTGTAATAATTAAAAAAAAAAAAAGAATAGTGTCCCCACTTTAGGACACATTGGTCTCACATTGGTCTCAAGATAAACCTTTTACTCATCCCTCAGATTCTGCAAGTTAATTTATTTGTAAAAGAACTGCTTTGTTCATCCAGAACATAAGTTACAGGTGACACTTAATATAAAGTGTATTTAATTGAACCTGTCATTTTGAGCTAATAATTTAGAAAACCTGTTCTTTTTCAATGTTGTTTAAATGGACATGGAAACTGGGATACTCATAAGTTGTTGAAGAGAAATGATATATCGGTCGTATGCTAAGCACTGTTATATACCATGTATCTTTACACCACAGCCCTATTGTGTCATTGCTATAATCATCCTATAGATGAGGAAGCCAAGGCGTAGCCTGATTAATCTGTCCAATATCACTTAGATAGCAAACTAAGACTAAAAATGTTTGGAATTTTTGTAAATTGACACAGTTAATATCAGTGGAACTGAGATTCCCATCAGAGTAGTGGACTCCAGAGCTAATGCTCTATCTGCTGTGCATTCTGTGCTTCTCTTATCGCCACTAGTTTGTTGTGGAAGACAAAGGGAAGTTTGTTAAGACTCAGGAAATTAATCAGTGGCATGAAATGTCATGTGAAACTTGCGAATGTTATTATAAATATTTGGGATTGTCTTGTGTGGGAAAAGTACAAAATATGTTGTTTCCCTGGATTTCTGTTTTTATGCTTCCTTAGAAATGCTTATTGCTAGGTATGAAATACAAACTAACTTGCCCCTTGTTATTCTGACCTTGTAATTTTGCAGCAAGCTTGCATGAACCTAGACAATTATACGAAGAATACCCTGAACCCTTACATTATCAACGTCACCCTTGCAGCCAAAATGTGTAGCCAAGTGCTTTGCCAAGAGCAAGGGGTGTGTACACGGAAACACTGGAATTCAAGTGACTATCTTCACCTGAACCCAAGGAACTTTAATATTCAAATTGTGAAAGGCGGAAAATATGTGATACATGGGAAGCCCACGGTTGATGACCTGCAGCAATTTTCTCAAAATTTTCATTGCAGCTGTTATCCCAGTTTTGGTTGTAAGACAAGAGTGGATATGGATAAAATTGATACAATTCATGTATGTGCTGCTGAGGATGTTTGTATAGATGCCTTTCTAAACCCAGCACAGAGTGTCCTGTCTAAGGTGAATGGGGCACCTTCTGTGGCTTATGATACCTCATATTCTATACCACGTGATACAGTGTCTCCATGTGCTCCTGGGAAAGGCCTGGATGAGCACCTCAGAGCCAAATGTCTAGCGGAAGCTCTCTCTGACAAATTCCAAGGGCGTCATGGTCACTCATGCAATCTAAACAATAAAAATGAAACAGCCTCTTCCGTTACAAGTTCAGTCCTTCCTTATCAAATTTCCTATCTACATACTTTATGTTTTTATAGTATTTACCTTTTTATACTTGTAATTTAACTAGGTGACTTTTTTTCATGCCTATGATCATATTTAGAGAAACACATGGCTAAGATAATGAATAGCTTGATATTTTGAACAAAGATTATTTTCTTATGATCAAATTAAACTTGAAATTATTATTGATGACTGCCACCTTTGATTTTTAAAATTACAGAACAGTGTTACTGCTAACACCATTGATATAACAATGTGAAACTGCATTTGACTTGAATCTTGATTTTTAACAGAGCAGACTGTTTCTTTAAGATGATGTCTGACTTATATGTCTGGTTGCCATGAGCCAGTAGCAAATATTTTGCATATTGTGAATGTATATATAAAACTCAGAGATACTTATTCCTAGTCTTATCAAAAACTGATTGTAAGGTCTTAAACAACTGTTGGTAGGCCTGGGTTTTGCTTGAGAAAAGTGAAGGTTTGGATAATCCTAATTTACTACAAATGTAAATGCATTGTAAATGCACTGCTTATGATAATAAAAATGTTAACAAAATATTAATGTGGAAAACTTTTTATCTTTTATAATGTTGAATTGGTCCAATCATAGAAATATGATTTTAGCTATTTCAGCTAACCATATTTCCAGTTGTGTTGTATAAACAGTAGCCTTTAAAAGTGATTATCCTGTCCCCCTTGTTTTTGATTTAATGTCTTCAGACTAGACTGTATTCCACTTTTCTTTTCATACTTGATTGCCAAATTTGACAATCTTATATACCCAGAATGCCTTATTGCATCTAACTATCCCTCCACATCCTTCAGGAGAGTATTTACTGAGTCTTTTTTTCTCTGCCAGGTTTAGTAGGAAGCATCACAGTCCCAAGAGGAAGGAGCTTGTTTCTTGCCACACTGAGTTTGGTGTATGTTTGAAGAAGACAGACATTAAAATTGGAAAATTACAACAATGTGTGTTATAATAGAAACTCAGCATGCAATGACATGCAAACAAGAATTTGGGGATCAGAGAAGAATTTCAAGAGTGTCATAAAACTACCATAGGTATATTGGCTTGAAGGTTGCTTAGCAGTTGGGGAGTAAGGAAACAAGACAGAAGGAACTTGGGACATTGAGTGTGGTGAACAGCAAATAAAGATCATATAATGAAAACCTTTGGACTCTCTAATGAAACACTCCCTGACATGTTGGCTTGTCCTATTTTGTTCCATGCATACATAGCACAGCATGTTACTTTTCTCTAATTTTACTCCCCACTGCCTCCTCCTAATGGAAGTATCATGAGGCTACATTTGGTCTTTAGCTTGTTGCTGTACCTACAATGTGATAAACAGTACATGGTACTTAGGAGTTAGCCAATAAATACTTATTGGCAAATAAGAGCCAGTGGAGAGGCAGTGAGGAATCCTAAGGATGGAGTCATCGTGACTACTTTTCACAATTCATATCTTCTTGGATCAGTGTTTATACATGGCTGCACAAATATCAGGAAAAAAATAATAGCTCCAGGTGTCTTTGCCTTATGCCTTCTATGCTGTAAGTAACCCAGTAAAACTTTAATATATTGTGCTAATACAATGTTGTTTACTTATTTTATTTCTAGCCACTTTTTTATTCCACATATTTAATAAAACATCAGCATAAGCACATGTAGTTTTAATAGAAATATATTAATTTCCCCATACCAACTTCCTAATCCTAAATAACAAACATAAGGATAAAGATAGGCTTGCAATTATGTACTTTATAGGGAAGAAACCATTGTGGATGATGTTGTCATTCTCTAAAATGTCTCTTTATTGCAGATCAGAAATAAAAGATTTCAGGGTTAATCATTTTGCAGAAGTATGAAAAACACTTTTATTCCATTAAGCAGTATATGAATGTGTTGGAAAATTGAGCAACCAAAAATATATACATATATTTTCTATCCTGTAGAAAACATTAATCAGTAACTTCATTAGTTGCTGATTTTAGTGGTAAATACTTTGAATTATGTTTCCATGTACTGCTAGGAACTTAACTAGGCTGATTGAAATTGCCAATCACTATATTAGAGCTCCTCACAGATAAAAAGAGCTTCCATTTATTATTCAACACTTAATTATATGTTTTACGACAACTTCTCATTTAATTACCTTTTTTCCAGTCAAGGAAAAGAGCCTTAGATTGAGTGACTCACCCAGATAGAGCCAGAGAGAAAAACTAGGTAGCTTTGACTCTGAGCCTGAGTGCAATGGACCCCACCCACTGCACTATGGCACTCTCTATAAGGCTTTGAGATGAAAGAACATTTTGGCACTTACAACTCAGAACTAGATGTTACATCTTCTTCTTTACTCCATCTTCTAAAATAGCTTGTGAGGATGAGTGTCTGACAATGACTGAGAACTATTCTGAGATCAAGCGCTCAAACAACTGGGTCTATACCTTCAACATGTAACTTTTCTGGATTAAAGGAGAAACTGGAACTCAAAGAAAGAGGAAACTAAAATAAGTTATTCGACATTTGCATTATCCTCAGCCTCACTCCAGACACACATCATACATTTTACATTTCCAACGGTAGGGGACAGTAGGTTACCAATCTCCATCCCCTGGGCTTTCAACCATCCTGTCTCCATGTCCTTACAGACTTTAGGTTTCAGCAACCAGAAATAACTAGGCACATGCTATCTCACTAGGTTACCAGCAGTAAGTCAGCTTATCTTTCAGGCAAAAAAAAAAAAAAAAAAATGAGTGAAGATGCTAAAAACAGAATATATAATAATGTTGCTTTTTTGTAATGGTTTTGGTGGTGCTATGTCTTTAAAAGATGACTTTTGAAGCTTGGCTAATGAAATTAGCCCACTAGTGAGTGGGAAGGTAAGTGATCATGGCTCCCCTGTGATTGTTTCATGTGGACAGGCTGTTACTGCAGACTCTAATATATGCTTGTTGTCATGAAACAGCATAGGTGTGTACTTTGTGGGGGGAAGGGGTAGAGGGCAAGGGTAAGGGGTAGGAGGAAAATCTGGAGATTGCTGATGCACGCAAGTACATTTGGTGAAAGATGGGAATCAAAGCTAGAAAGGTAAAGCAGAGTCAGATATAAGCCTCTTCTGGGCTATTGCTCACAAACCTGCAATTAATCCTTTATGCAGGTTTGCAATGGTGAGAGTCTGTGGAGATGAATGAGTTGAGGCAAAATTGGGGCATCTAGCCTGAAGGCAGGAAAACGAGCTAAAGGCTTGCTATTATCTAGAGGAAAGATAAGGAGGTCTTGAGCTAGAGGGGTTCCCTCTACTCCAGTAGGAATGGAGAGGAGGCCTGGCTTGGAAAGCAATCACCCATTGCATGCTGGGATGGGAGTGGATAGCTGGTGAAAGCAAGGAGACCCTAGATTGCTGCAAGAGAGCTGCCGTCCACTCATGAATAAGGAGCCAGTTTGGGAACTTTTTGTTGTATGTGAGGGACTTCTGGGGTGTCCAGAAAGGTGTTATGTTTAAATGATTTAATTTGGAAGTTTAAGGGACTCCCAAATTATAAATTATAATAATATACATCTGCACTTGACACATCGTAAGCATAGTAAGCTATCTGTTATGCTATTGCTATTTTTACTCAGCTCTTATTTATTGGATACTTGTTCTAGGCAGAGTTAACACTAAATCTCCCTAATGCTCTGTGATGGAGATAACTTATTATGCAAAAACAGGCCAGGAAGCAGAGGGCACAGCCAGTCAGAGTGCAAACTCAAGTCTGAAGGACAATAGGGGTCTAAGGCCATTTGGATGATATTGAAAACATGATCATGGGGAGACAGCATAAAGCCACCTGAGCCAGGAACTCCCAGCTTTCCTCCAGGGGCGAGGGTGAAGATGGACAAGAGGCAGGTGGGCCAAGTCATTTTTGGCTGTGGCTCAGGATGGTAAGGGTTTCCTCTCAGTCTGCTCATAAAAGCCTTCCTTTTTCACTGAGATTTTGTACTTTACACTTCTCTGCATGAAAAACTATCAAAAGAAACACATGACTCCTACATTAGAGGTATCACATTATGTACTAGATTTAATGCATGATCAACATACTTAAACTTTGACCCTCAGAGCAGCTAATCTATGCTAGGTATTAAGAGTTTTATCCCTCCCTAGGCAGTGGCCAAAGGGTTCAGTAAATCTAATCTGCATCTGGATGCAGGATGGAGCCCCCCAACCCCCAGAGTCCCATAGCCTAGAATCACAGTCTTTGCCTGGAGTCATCTGGGATTTGTCTGTGTCTTTAGAAGCCTGCTAGGGCTGACTTGACAAAGTGTCCCGGACTGGGTGGATTTAACAGAAATTTCTTGCTTCTTGAGTCTAATGAAAGACTGGTAGCAAGGTGTCTGTAGGGTTGGTCTCTTGTAAGGGCCTAAAGGAAGGATCCGTTCCAGGCCTTTCTCCTTGTCAGTTTCTCTGTCTTCTATCTGTCCCTGTCAGTTTTCCAGAGTCCCTCTTCTTAGAAGGAAACAAGTCATATTGCACGAAGGGCCACATTAGTAGCTTCTTTTTAATTTTATTACCTTTGTAAAAAATCTTGTCTCCAAATAAGGTCACGTTCAGAGGAACAGGGAGGCAGGACTTCCATATAGGAATTTTGAGGGGACCTTATTCAGTCTATAAGAATATAAATACCCTAATGATGTTTAATTGTTAAAGACTTTGTGATGAATCCAGCATGTAGGAGCTGTACAAACAAAAAATATATATATATATATGTATATGTCCTACACCCATTTTGTGTTCTCAAACAAATTCATTTTTTATATATCCTTCCAGAGTCTTCTTTCTCCAATTCATGATACATAATAAAGCAGCTTTCCTCTTCTTGATAAGAAATTAACATTCATACTCAGTTCTTAAGTTAAAACCCATAGGCACCTGTTCATTGAGTCAACTCTGTGTCTTCTTGTCAATACCCTACAGGATCTGGGGCCCCAGGATCAACTGCCTAAGGCATTAAGTGCAGTCACTCTCCAGGTGAGTGAGGAGGCGAGGAGGAAGCAGGTTACAATTAGGACCCTGCTACTCATAATTTCATTCTATGATTATGTTTTCTCTTTTTTTAAGATTTATTTATGCATACAGAAGTGGGGTGCAGGATAGAGGTGCAGGGATGAGGGTGAGAGGACTCACCAGAGATAGAGTCGGGAGAAAGACAGAGAGATCCATTGGAAAACACTGCTGAGAGGAGCAGCGGGTAAGACAGGAGAGGTCTGCTGCACCATGTGGGTCAGCTCCCTGGCTGGGGATCAAACTCCTGACCCAGTGGCTGGTGACAGCTTAGTGGTGTTAAGACTTAACCTCTGTGCCACCAGGGAGGGCCCTCATTCTGTGATCATTAACTTTTGTGGATTCAAAAGGGCCTTGGGAATCTGGTGAAAGCTGGAGTTTCTATTCCCAGAAATACTTACATAAGATTAAAAGAAAAATTATGCACACAACCTATTTTATTGCTTTAGGTCAAAATATTTTTAAGAGAATTGTAATTTTTAAATCCTTTTTCATGCAAAATTAATTGCAGACAATATTCTAAGAAAAATAAAAGGAAGAAGGAAACCTAAAGGTGCAAATAATGTTTAAAAATAAGCTTTGATTTTTTTTGAAAAAATAAATTTTAGGGTCTCCCTGGTGGTGCAGGGGTTATGTCTCAGCTCTATCACACTATCACTGTTGCAGCGAGACTTCTGTCCTTGGCCAGGGAGCTGACCCACCTGGCACAGCAGACCTTGCCTGTCTCACTGGCTGCTCCCCTCAGCAGTGTATTTCAATCAATTTGCCGGTTCTGCTCCCCACTCTGTCTCTGGTGTCACCCTCTCTACTCCTGACCTCTGGCCTGTATCGTAGGTCTTCTATTTATAGATAAATAAATCTTTTTTTTCAAACTAGGGTTTTTTTATTTTTGTTCTTCCTACCTACCTCTCATCTTCGCTCTTATTAATTCCAATGAAACTGTACATCATCCAGTATGTTTTTTTTTAATTTTTCTGAAATGAACATTCTTATGTGTATTTGTTGTAGATGTTTGTTTAAATGTACCCAATTTAACCTGAATTTCCTTGTTCTATCTTTCCAAATCTCAAATATCTGTCTGTGATTATTTTTCTTCTTCCTGAAGGTCACTTTTTAGGTTCCATTAATGAGGGCCTCATGCAGGAGAACTCTGGTTTTAATCTTTAACTTCTAATTTTTATCCTTTTCATAGTTTTGATGTTTATAAAAGTAATAAGTGATAGTTATTACTTACCCTTTGCAGCTCTTTTATCCATTTTCAATTGTTTTCCTTGCAACTGCTGTTTTCTGTGTGATTAACTGCTTTTGTAGAATCTGAATTTTCTTTCTGGCTCATTTAAAGATGGTAAGGCACTCTCCCTGGTGACGCAACGGGTTAAAGCAGTGCACTATGAAGCTCTCTGAAGCCACTGAAGCATGAATTTTCAGCACAAATTTGACCCCCGGCCAGGGAGCTGACCCACATGGTGTGTGGCAGGCCTTTCCTGAACCGCCCGCTGCTCAGTAGTTTGAGTAGATCTGCCTGTTCTGCTCCCCACTCTGTCTCTAGTGAATCCTCTCGCCATCCCTGCACCTCTGGCTTGTACCCATTCTGTATGCATAAAGCTTAAAAAAAAAAGTATACAGTTGAATGACTTACTAAATATACTTTTAGCCTATTATAAAAAGTCAGTCTATAGTTATTACTCCTGTACCCCATATAAGTCTTGAATATTTTCATCACCCCATAAAAACAAAAACTCACTAGAAGTCACTATCCATTTCCCCCAATTCTCCCAATCTTTGAGCACTGCTATTACACACACACACACACACACACACACACACACACACACACACACGGCTATTCCTGGAACAGCTGGGCGAGGCAGACCTAAATTGGGTAGTGCTATGTGTTAGAGAAGTGCTTGTCATTGCAAGTTTCACAATTCCTTTCAGTCCTCTCACCTTCATGCTTACCTCACCAGATAAATCTTACTTAACAATAGGACTATGGAAAGTATAGAACCTCTGCATCCTCCAAGAAAATAGATGTTAATGAGATTGCTATCAGCTTGCTTTCTAGTTACTCCAGAAATGTAACAAGATGTCCTTCACTAGTGATAAGACTAAATTCTTGCTCTTTCACCATGAATCAGAGGACCCTTTACAATTCATTATCTCTGTTCATAGATGCCAGAGAGTCTAACCCTACAGTTACTGTTTTCAACTTATTGAAACCTGATTTTCCCAATAACTGCCATGATCAGGCCTGACTAAAATTCATGAATAGGGCAGGGAAATGAGAAACCAAATTATACATGAGTAATCATTAGTGACTAAATTAGTGAAAACTAAATCATTCTGAGTGGATTCCTTCTGTTACCTAGTATAGTAATTAATCACAGGTAACTAATAAGAGATTTCCATTTTGAAGTCAAATCTTGAGTGTGAATGTCTCTGTTCGCCCCTTTATGGACCATCGATCCATAAATGTTAACAAACCTTGTTGTAGCCACCAAGCTCCTCCAAGATCTCTCGAATTGCCTGCTGTGCGTCCATCCCCCAGATTCAATGCGTTTCCGATGGGCGCTCTCCCCTTTCCTCAGTCAGTGTGATTTTAATGAGCAGCTTTAATTGGATCCTTTGTGTGGTCAAGCTAAAGCCACCCTCTCCAGCATGCATGCGAAATTGCACACACTATTGGCTATTCCAATAGCTACTCCCCTTCCTCTGATATATTGCTGAAAAAATATGTATATAATATTAAGAAAGCTGTTTATATATAAATGCTTATATTTAAGTCACTACATATGCTATCACTCACCTTAGGCCATGCTAGTGAAGAACCTGACCTATGTCCCATTCATCCTTCCAAATACGTAGAAACAAGCATAGACACAGGAGCTTGGTCTTGCCTGCAAGCAATACGCTGAAACATCGCACGTCCTTCTGCCAAGTCTGAACACACTTAGGCGGAGCCAACTGATGAGCTACGTCACCAAAATCTAAATAGATGCAAACTGCAGCTTAGGCGCTGAAGCCAGAGACAAGGACATTTTAACTGAGGTCGTGGACCAGGTAAGATCAGAATCATAAAATCAACTCCCAAATCTTGCAAGCACGTAGATAGCCGTGCCTGGTGGTACCCGGGGGAGCCCTAACTGGATTGTAGAGATCATCGCCAGGAGATGACTCTGAGGAGAGCGTGTTGAGGAGAAACCCCGTCAGTTAACACTGGACAGTGCACGGCCCATCCGAATACTTTCAGGAGAAAAGCGAACACCAGGCTACAGAGGGAACCTGAAGGCCCCAGGACCTGTGGAGCGGGCAGCTTCCGGTACAGCGGGTTTCAGGAGAGCGGGTTACAGCGAGGTCGGAGGTCCGTTACGGGGTGGCGGTTACAGCAAGAGCCCCGAGGCCAGCTCGCCTGGAGCAGAGGCTTGGGGCACATCTAGGGTACAAGGCTGTTCCTCGAGAACAGGGCAGCACTGAAGGCGGCAATCAGTGTAGGCATATGTATGACCGAAATAATAGACGCCACAATTTTGCCACCAGTAGGAATAGGGAGGGGGCATCTTGAGGGTGGGACAGTCTTGCTCCCTCCCAGTAGGTCCCCAGTCATGGATCAGTTGTTCCCAAAGTCACCAGACCAACTCCACCCAACTTGAAAGAGACTTGAGATCCCTGGCCTCATTTAACTGGCTATTAAGAGTTGACTAGTGTCCTTGATTCTGTTACCATCACACCCCAACTCGTTCACTTTCCAGAATTCCCAATAAGATTTTAAAATTTCATTATGAGGGCCCTCCCTGGTGGCGCAGCGGGTTAAAAGCACAGCACAAAGAAGCTTAAGCCACTTCCACATGAGTTCGATCCCCCGCCTGCCCCGGAGGAGATCCACATGGCGCGGCAGACCTCTCCTGACCGCACGCTGCTCCCCTCAGCAGTGTACTTCGTCCATCTGTCTGTTCTGCTCCCCGCTCTATCTCTGGTGAATCCTCTCACCCTCCGCATCTCTGGCCTGTACCCCAGTTGTACGAATAAATAAATAAATCTTTTAAAAAATTCATTATGAGTGCTTAAAGACAGCCAGAAATATCTAACATGTCCCCTACATCTCTCCATCTTCTTTATCCTTCAGTAAAGTTATTTCTGGTTACACTGAAAATATCTTCATTCAGTGTCACGGAAGTTGCCATCGTGGCTTTATCAATATCTGTAAATATTTCCAACTTAGTTATATTCAAAGTGTAATAATTTTAAAAAGAGGTAGCTAAATCAAGTTATTGATTCATTACCTCTGTCATAGCTTCCCCTATTTTTTCTTCAATACATTTGTTAAGACATCTTGCAAATGTCTATCTCTAAGACATCTCTAAGTCTATCTAATCCCTCCCTCCATTCCCAGCCCAACTTCTGCATGGCTTTGTCTAACTTCAACATTCTTCTCTATCTGGAACCACAGGGCTTTTATCTAGGTAACTTAAATATTTGGCTCCCAGGGTGCTTTAGGCACACCCAAAAATGTTATCATTGTGCTCTGTATAGCTTTTCTTTTGAAAGTGAATTTGGTAAGCGTGCAACCACCTGGGTGGCCACCATGGATGAATGCATTTTCTCTATTCTAGCAGGAGGTGAATTGCTGCATCACAGATCCTCCATGTCTGACTGTAGATTGTAGATTGAAGATAACAGAGAAGGAAGGGTAGAAAGAAGAGGAGGATGTGAAAGGGACCAGTAGACTATGGAGGAAGACTGTGGGTACCTTGGAGGTGGGTGTGGTGACAGATATCTGAGGAGGTATTTATCTATGTAATTAGTAATGATTTGAGAAGATCAGACAAATGTTCAGTTATCACAGAATTTGTATCATACATAAGATAAAATAGGTATTGTGCTGTTTCAAGCACAGGAATAGAGCTACCATATTCCAAAATTAATGAAACTCTCTGTACTTAAAATTGAAAAGTTGGTTAAGTTCCTAATTCTGATACCAAAATGTTGTTAAAACTATATTCGTTTTTTTTCCCCAGTGAGAGATAAGCAATATTCAAAACGTTCCTAAAACATAAAGAGTAATATGTAAATGTTACATCATTATCTTTCCTCTCTGCATCTGTTTTACATCAAATACTGAATAAACCAAAGTAACCTAGGAAGAAATAAATGGTATTATTCACTTTTGTGCCATGGAAGTGCTAATGTTCAAGCATATCTTCTTGAGAAGCTTTATTGGATTCCATGGAACATTCCTTCTGTTTCCAGTGTGTTTGACACTGAATTTCACAGCAGCTCCTATTTATCCTGAAACTACTTTTCTCTGGGTTTCCAATGCTCCCACTGAACTTTGTGAAGAAAGGCACAACATAAAGATAGATATGAGCTTCTTCTCCTTATCAGGAAGCCCGCGGAAACAGATGGCAGAACAAGGTATTGCAATATTTTATATTGATAAACTTGGCTACTATCCTTATATAGACACACGCACAGGCGAAAACGTGAACGGAGGAATCCCCCAGTTGGGATGTCTAAAAAAACATTTGGACAAAGCTAAGCTTGACATTCTCTATTACACTGGACCACAAAAAGTAGGCTTGGCTGTCATTGACTGGCAAGAATGGAGACCCATTTTTGCAAGAAACTGGAGCCCTAAACACATTTACAAAGATTTATCTACTCGGTTGGCTCTCCAAGAAGATGCAACACGTAATTTATCTGAAGCTGTCAACATTGCCAAGGCTGACTTTGAAAAGGCAGCAAAGGATTTCATGCTAGAGACTTTAAAATTGGGCAAAGTACTTCGGCCAAAATACTACTGGGGGTTTTATCGATTTCCTGACTGTTACAATACTTACTCTAAAAGCCCTTCTTACAATGGAAGTTGCGTTGATTTAGAAATAAGAAGAAATAATGAACTTGACTGGTTGTGGAAAGAAAGCACTGCTCTTTTCCCATCCATTTATTTATATACTGGTATAAAGAATTCTCAAAAGGCGGCACTCTTTGTCCGGAATCGAGTACTGGAAGCCCAGCGGATTTCTAGAGTGCGAGATGCCAAGGACCCACTTCCAGTGTTTGTATACCTCCGTCCAGTGTTAACTGATAAGTCTGATAGTTTTCTGTCTGCGGTAAGTAAATCAAGGTATGAAGGCTATGTACTATGTCCACCATGCTGTTTAATCGAATTTAACATCATTTTTGAAAGATAATGTCTTTGCAATCCTGGAAAATAGTGTAGTTCAGGCAACGTTTAACGCAGTTCTTTCTTTCCTGAGACTGCTCACTTGTCAATAGATGTAATTAAAATTATAATAAGAATTTTGTATGCTTCCTATTGTAGGGCAATGTTGTGTAAAAGTGGAAATACAGGGAAAGAATTTAAAAATATTACAGTGGGTTCTGCAGCTTAGCTTAGGTGTTACTGGCTCATGATAACACTTCAAATTTATTCCCGTCTGTTAACTCTTTCTGTTGCTTCTGCCAGGGTGACCTTGTGGACACGATTGGTGAAAGCATTTCTCTAGGTGCCTCTGGAATGGTAATTTGGGGAGGCTACAATTTAAGCCGAACTGTGGTAAGTTGTACTGGTAGGCAGTGAATCAAAACACCTTGGTTTGCATTGATTTGGGGTATGGTTGTGTTAAATAATAAAATGAGTACTATGCTTGGCACCTGAATACTGACTGAATTACTTTTCTTTTCAGTTGTGCTTATTGTGAGGCAGAAAACTCTGTAGGGCACAAATCAGTGAGTTGAATGAAAATTCTATAGACTAGATGGCTAGGAAGCAACCAAGTGGACTAGAATGTGGTTTTATGACATGATGGTGATTTTTCTATCCCACCTTTGTGTCTCTTCTTAAAATAAGCTCTGTCTCTTCTTGAAAGAATAGTTAGTCATCGTGCATTCCTTTGTTCTTTCACTTAGCTGCTCTTTATTGAGCAATTATTTACTCAGTTATTCATTGAATGACAGTCAGTTGCAGGCATCAGCAATTGATGACTGGGGACCGAATCTGTTCTGCTCTTGTTTTGTCCAGCTCCTCTGGCAAGAATCATGTAGATAGTTTCAAATGGGAAAAATAATCAATAGGAGACTAGTGTTTCAGAACAAGTAAAAAATGATGGAAACCAGTATGTCCTGTCTATCAGTAAAGCTTCACTGAATCATAGTGCTATCATTTCTGAGGTGTCCAGGGCTGTTTTGTCCTTGTTGGTTTGGGGATGCTGGTGATGCACCTGCTGTGGAAAACGGGAAGGACTCATGGCCCCGGACCTTATCCTTGGAAGACAGATGAGAATTTGTATTCTAAGAGCAGAGGATCTTTTGGTCACTTGCACTTAAGACAGAAAAACCATAGTTTTACTTTATGTATAAAATACTGCTGCCACCTTTCTGGAATTATTTTAAAATAATCTGAACTCTTCTGCCTATCTGGTATGCTTCTATTGGCTCTGGTTTGATAACAAAGAAAGAACACAAAATACCATTCAGAGAAACTGAATTAATTAGTCCCCAGTGGAACAAAGCTAGTCCCTTTCATATATTAGAAAATTGTGTAAAAATTATTCTCCAACATATATTTCTAATTTTCACTCTTTGCTTCCCCAAATCTATCAACCCTAATTTGAAGGTTGATCCCTTTTATGATGGAATCACTTAATGATTTTATTACTACTTCCTCTTTTGAAAAAAGGCAAGTTAGGACTCAGATGAGGAGTGAATCAGATATTAACTAATAAGTAGGATGAACTGAAATACTATTTGTCACGCTTTCTCTTTATGTTCAGTGTTCACATTCTTCTGCTGTGTCACCCAGATTGTCTCACATTATTCATACAGGAGGGGTCCTAAACTTCAATTAGGTGTTTTCTACTTCATGACACTGTGTTGGAAACATCCCCACGTGCTGTGTTCTGTATATTTTTGCTGCCTTTCCCAGTTTATGGTTATTTTGAAGGTTAGTTCTATCATTACTTCGCGCTTCTTCCTATGGCATTAGCAATCAATAGAGAAGTAGATCACATGTGGTGTTTCCTCTGATTCCTTCAAAAACTCAGAGCCTTTAATTGCAGATGTACTTGCAGTTAACTAAAAGGACATAAAACAATTATTTTCAAACGTAAGCAAACCAGTTCCTTCCATTCTGTTTTATTAGTTCCAGTGATGTGAAAGAACCAGCTCCTTCTGGCCCCAGCTCATAAGACCTGATTACTAAATAATTAGGAATTATGTGATCTTCTTACAATGTACAGTCATAATTAAAACCCAAGTTATAAAACCTTATCATAAAGTAAGTCATGTGCAAAAACCAAAATATAACTCAAAGTATATAAATGAGTCTCTTCTTTGTGCAGTTATCCATAATCTGTCCTTTTTTCCTGATCAGTGGATTACAGATACTACTCCACACTGCACTCCACATTGTGTAGTAATGGGGTACTTGATCTCCAGTCTGCACCCACTGACTTCTGGCTGGTAGCCTGAAATTGACCTGGTTAGACCACGTATAGCGTAGATACTGACAAATGCCAGCACCTACCTTTAGAGATTCCGTTTTAGGTCCTACTTTTATTTTAGCTAATCTCCAAACTATTCCCAGCGTGCCTTTCCCTTTTTCCCTAAATTTTGTCTCTGTGGATAATTGCAGAGTCATCTGTACTCGGTGTAAATTCTCCTACAGATTTTGCACTGGGGGTAAATGGGATGTTGATGGAGTCTCTGCTCACATGAAGTTTATGTAAGCTTTGGAGGAGTAGAAGCAATACAAGCAAGAGAAATATTTGATGTCGAAAGTGCCTTATAAGAAATTAAAGGGAGAGGTGAGAGAATCCACAGGAAAGGTATGTTGTGAGCTGGGCAGTATCTGATGAAAGCTGTGATCTAATGACCAGGTGGAGCCAACCATGTGCAAAATAGAGGAAGGGCATTTGAAGCAAAGGGACCAGTAAGTGCAGTTGGAAATGAAGCTGCCAGTTCCTGAAACAACTGGTATGTCCAGTGGGTGGAGGAAAGGTTAGCCAACAAGAAGGAAGGGTTAATCATATTAGGCTGTGTGCAAGAAAAAGTTATGTTCTAAACACAATGAAAGGCCATTGGAGGTTAAGAAGTGGTTTCCTAATGGTGCTATAAAAATTAAAACAGTGGGATCCTCCCCAGTAGTGCAAGGGGTTAAAGCACTGCCTTCTGAAGCTCTCCAAAGCCACTGCAGCACGAGTTCGATGTCGTGCCAGGGAACTGACCCACATGGCATGGCAGGCCTCTCCTGACCTGCCCGCTGCTCCCCTCAGCAGTGTACTTGTCAGTCTGCCTGTTTTGCTCCCCACTCTGTCTCTGGTGAATCCTCTCACCCACCAAACCTCTGGCCTGTACCCCAGTTCTGTATGCATAAGTAAATAAATCTTTTTTTAAAAAAAATCACAACAGTAGTTTTAAACAGTAGACATGTATTATTAGAAATGGTTGCAGGTCAGAAGTCCAACATGGGTCTCAACATTCCAGACCAAACCGAGGCCTTCATGGGCCACAGCAGGGCCTGGGTTGTTCCTTTGGGCTGTTGACACGTTTCATTTTCCTTTGATAGTAGGGAAGAGAGCTCTATCTTCTGGTTGACCACACATTCTTTAGGTCTTTCTCCTCTGTCTTGAAAACAGTAACATGGGTTGATTTTCTCTTACTTGGATTTGTTCTCTTCTTTGAATCTCATTTTCTAAAGCCCAGCTGCATCAGTTCTGGGTTTATCAGAACTGGACTGAGCGGATAATTCAGCTTAAACTCCCCCTCTCAGTGTTCACACCACTCATCTTATCTATTATCCAGTCCTTTATCATGTAAGATAACAGAGTTTCAGGTTCCAGGGAATAGATTGTGAGCAGCCTTGGACACTATTCCATGGAGAGGAAAGTAATTGTAAATAGATTCTAGTGGAAGCTGCCAAGAATCTTCCACATGCCTGTTGAGCTACTACCACTTGCTGGCTCTCCTGAAGTTGAGAATTCCCACCTCAGCACTGTCATTGTGGAAGAAAGTGACTATCCTTTGTGTTTCTAAAAGAACAGCACCCCCATTTTAAGACATATTAGGTTGAAGATGGGTCATATTAGTTCCTCAGATTCTGCAAATAAACACATTTGTAAATAAACTGCTTAAGTCACCTGTAACATAAACCACATTTACTCTATACTCATTTCAAATTCAGTTGTTTTGAACTAGTAATTTAGAAACCATATCTCTCTGATGTTATTTAAATTGTGCATAGAAAATGTGATATTTTATGTTTATAATTTCTTGAGGAGTAGTGATACACTAGGTCTCTGCTAGTACTTTTATGTGCTAGTACTTTTAACCTTTGCAACACAACCCAATGGTGTCCATGCTGTAATCATCTTACAGACGAGGAAGCCAATGCATAGCCTGGTTAATCTGCCCAAGATCATTGGAGAGGACTGTAAAAGTTTCCTAAATTGTCACGGTTAGTCTTTAGTGGAACTAAGATTCCCATCAGAGTAGTGGGTTCCACAGCTGACTGACTTATATTCTGTTCCTACTTATCCTGGCTAGTTTGTGAATTATTGAAGACAAAGGCTAGCTTATCTAAGTCTCAGTGAATTATCAGTGGCATGAAATGGCATGTGGAACTTGCAAATGTCAATGCATACATTGGCATAGTCTTGCTTGTGAGGATAAAAAAGATAAAATAGTTCCTCTTTCCCTGAGTTTACTTCTCCACATTTCCTTAGAAATTGCTTATTGCTCAGAGTTAATTTATATAGAACTTAACTTGTTAAATTTAACTTGTTAACGATTAATGTTGACCTTCTTATAATTACAGGAAGTTTGCAAAACCTTTAACAAATTTATGCAGCACTTACTGAATCCTTACATTATCAATGTCACCCTAGCAGCCAAAATGTGTAGTCAAGTGCTTTGCCAAGAGCAAGGAATGTGTGTACGGAAACACTGGAATTCAAGTGACTATCTTCACCTGAACCCAAAGAATTTTGCTATAGAGATGGCCAAAGATGGAAAATACACAATCCGTGGGAAGCCCACACTTGAAGACCTGAAGCAATTGTCTCAGAAGTTTCATTGCAGCTGTTATTCTAATATTGATTGTAATACGACAGTGGATATAAATACTATAAGTCATACTAATGTATGTATTGCTGAAGATATTTGTATAGATGCATTTCTAAACTCAAAACTCAGTGATCTATCAGATTGGAATGAGAGAGCTTCTAATGTTTATCGTAATGTCTCATTTTCTTCACCACTTGCTAAAGCATCCCCATGTGTTCCTGGAAAAGACCTCAATGAGAACTTCAACAGCAAATGTTCAGTGAAAGTTCTCTCCAACCACCTCCAAGAAGATAGTCAGAGTCATTTATATATTCCAGACAATAAAAATGATGCAACCTCTTCCAGAACAAATTTGGTGCTTATTAAATTTCCTATTGACATATTGCATGTTTTGCTAGCTATTACATTTTTATACCTTTAGTATAGCTAAATGATTAGTATAGCTAACTAGCTTAGATGATTTTTTTCAGGCAGATGACAATACTGCCTGAAGTTTTGTACCTGAAGTCTTTATAAAAGTACATAGTTAAGATAATAGTTCAACTTTTTGTGCAAAGATTATTTCTAATATCAAATTAAACTTGTAATTATTATAGATGAACAGGAAATGATCTCCACCTTTAATTTTCAAAATCACAGAAGTCTTTTACTATGAAAACTATTGATACAGCATTATGACTTAATCTGCATTTGGTAGAATCTTAATTAATGCCTATACTAATGGAGCAAAATAAATTGTTTTGTATGATATTTCAATTATATTTTCTGTATGCAAAAAATTTGCATACATGAATGTATATGTAAAGTACCTATTCTGTTCTGATGAAAAACTGATGAATGTATATGTAAAGTACCTATTCTGTTCTGATGAAAAACTGATTTTAAGCTCTGTAAGCCCTGTAAACCTACATTTTCCCTGTGAAATATGGTTTAAAAAATATCAATTTACTGAAAATTAATGCCTTTGTTAATACTTTATAATTCATATAAAAATATTAATATGGAAAACTAGTTATCATTTATAATGTGTTATAGCATTCAGTCTTGAGCACAGAACTATGGATTTTAACTGTTTCAACTTAATTCTTTCAGTTGTGTTGTATAGACATGTAACTTAAAAAGAGCTTACCTTGTCAAGTTTTACTTTTGATTTAATGTCTTCAAAGTTCATATAGAAAGTATTGCAATTTTCTTTTCATTCTTGATTGTCCAATGACAATCTTGTATACCCAAAATGCCTCATTTCATCTACGTATCCATCCACATCTGTCACAGAGCATTTGTGGAAAGTTTATTATCTACCAGGTTCAGTAAGAAGCAACAATTTCAAGAGGGGGGAGCATGTTTTTTGTCATCAGTAAGTTTGGTGTATGTGTGAATACAGAAAATGAAATTAGATAATTACAAAGGTGTGTCATAAATGTTTGATAGAAACACATCATGCTGTGGCATACAAACAAGATTTTGGGAGTCAGAGAATTCCAAAGGTGTCAAACTACCGTGGGTATATTGGCTTGAAGGTTGTTTAGCAGCTGGGTAGTAAGGAAACTCAAGACAGGAAGAACTCGAGGAGGGTGGAACATTGAGTGTGGTGTTTAGTGTGGTGATAATTTATTAGACTTTCTAATGAAACACTCCCATACCTCTTGGCTTGTCCAATTTTTGTTCCATGTATACATAGCACAGAATGTTACCTTGGTCTAGTGTCACTCTCCACTGCCTCCTTCTAATGGAAGTATCAGTCGATTCTATAACCACAGTGTGATGAACAGTATCGGGCACTGTTAAGACTTAGCTAATAAATACTTGCTGGCAAATGTGAACCAAAGAGGCAAGACATGAAGAATTTTAAGCCTGGGAATTGTGGGGACCACTTTTCACAACCCATGTCCTCTTGGGTCAATGCTGCCCTTGTGCTTAGCTTTGTCTTTCATCTCCACTCAACCACTGAAGATGAGTTTCCTTAAGTCAGTCACAAAGACGTAACTGGATAAACTGGAAAAGACACTGGATAGATAGTAGTTTACTTTGAACACCTTAATGACTATCGGGTCTAAGTTCAGGACTTGGAGAGATGCAGACAGCAAGTGAATTTAAAAGGGCATGGAGTTAGGAATTGGGCAGTTTTTAGGGCAAAGCCCAGTTTGCAATATTGACTGGCACTATGAGTATGGGAGTAGTTAACCTGGCTCAACTTCCATTCTGACAAAATGGTAGCAGTACATTCCTCATCAGATTCTTGAGAAAAGTGGAATAACATGACAAATGAAAGTCCTTTGGCCTTAAAAATATCTCAATAAATGTCTATTGGAAAAAGAGGAAGAGATTTTTTTTTTTTTGGATATGGGAAGATGCCCAGATGGAGTGTCAAAACACTCCACATACCACACTGGCCATGGACCCAGTAAGAGAAGAAACCACTCAACAGAAGAGACTGTGCAGGAAACTTTTATGTAATACATACATATACTTGTAGCAGTCAAATGTATATGTTTTAAGTCAAGTACTTTTGCCAGGGAACGTACTTACAGCTGAAGTACAAAGTGAAAAATACTGTATCCTGTTGCTTCAATACCACACTGATAAGACATAAGTCGTGGAGCAGGCTATGCACTGCAGGATCCTGGGAATGAGCAAGATCCTGGCCCTTTCATTGATAGAATAATCATACAGCATCAGTTACACAAAGTAGGAGAAAAATATGAGTAAACCTGAAATGATCTTATGTCATCTAAGGCTTCAGGGGGACTGAGTCTGCTGACCAGATAACTCTTATATGCTTGATAACTTTTGTCATGGAACCATATCCCAGCCCCCCTGGGCCATGGTTCCAATCTTATCAACAAAGCATTCCAATGATCAGCTTTTGGAGTCCTGTGTCATACATCGGTCATCCGGCCCCCTAGGCACACCTTGTCATACCTTGTGATGCAAGCCTGGCCTAGGTGATCAAGCTTTCTGTTCTTGATTTGAAAGGGTACCTAGTAAGGTTTGGCTCCTATGACTGATTCACCATGCATTTCTGACCTTTTATAGGAATGCACCTAACAAAAATGGTGGCCAAACAGGCTGCTGAAGTCTAGGAGACCCACAGCATCCTTGCTTTTTAGGAGCTTGCATCCAGATGGTGAGGACAGATGTGTAAATAGAAGTTGTCCACAGAATGTGGCATATGAATAAAGAGCACAGATTGAAGAACTATGTCACATGACTCACCATGGCAATTAATAGAGTGCTAAGGGAACTGAGTGATTAAAACAATCCCAAAATCCAGTGTGATGACAAAGGTTGATGTGAGCCCAGAGGTGGGAGAGACTCATTTTCTGGGGGACCTTAGGAAAACGACTCACCAGGACCCAATGAGATAACATTGGAGCTGAACTTGAAAAGGCCAAGTAGAAGTTTACTAGGTTGGAAATGAGCAACTAAAAAGGGAGAGAAGCCAAAAAGGGACATGGCATGAGCGAGAAATGTGATAGTGTGATGGTCCCAAGAAGCTAAGTTAGGATGGACATGTTCAGCTATTCAGACATACAGAGCAAACTCCTTGTTGGCCTGGAATTTTAACTTTGATGTTTACCTTTGTGACTTGAAAAAGCTACCTAATGTCTTTTTGTCTCAAATTTTCTCATCTTTAAAATGGTGGCAATCAGGATTCTTGTGTTTGTTCAAGGAGGGTTTCTTTATTCCTCCTTTACTCAAAAGATACAGGAAAGCATGGATGCAACATCCTTCCCTTTGAAAGTCAGCATCAATAATGCAAAATTCCTGTGCCTGAGCTCAGGGGCATGAATAATGAAGGCCTTCTGGGATGGGACTTCTAACGTGGTGAAGATTAGTCCAATGCCATTTTTGCTGGCTACATGTGGCCTCTCTGGAACTTGAGGGGACAGACAAGAGTTCTTTAAATTGAAAGTGTGCTCAAGGTGAAACTGAATTCTGTCTACACAGAGATGTGTTCATGTTTAGAAAACAAAGGCCAACGCAGCAACTCCTGGAGGCAAACTGAATAAACTAGAGTAATCTGGGGAAGGTAACAAGTGGCAGTGGAAACAGTGGCTAAGTTTGTGCCCAATCAACCTTCCCGGTAAGGCCACAGGACACAGAATCTGCTTAATATGATACCTCTCATGATTTACAAATATTGGAAAGCCAATATATAAAGTTGGATTTGGCCTCTTGTAAAAAAACAAAAAAACATAACAATGATGGGGATGTTTGTCTCCATTTCCTTCCAAACACGAGTTTTCTCTTTTATTTTTAATTTCAAATAAATTGCATTTCAACATACATTAGGTTTTTAAAAAATTTTCCAAGTTGTAATTTTTATTTGTATCATATGTAGACAAAGCTTGTTTAATGTTCTATTTGACTTATACCATTTCAAATATCAAGTTTCTTTCTGTGCTCACTTTCCTTCTTACTGAAGATGCCCTTTTAGGTTCCATTAATAAAGCCTGCTGGAGGAGAGCTGTGCTTTTAAACCGATAATTTCTAAATTTTATCTTTTACATAGAAAGATAGTTTTGAAGTTTATGAAAGTAATATGTGATTTCTTATGTCACTTACCCTCTTGTAATCTTGAATCCATTTTCATTTGTTCATCCTGAAATTGCTGCTTTGTATCCGATCGCCCGCCTTGTAGTAACCTGTGTGTTCTGGATCACTCGAAGCTGGTCAGTCTGGTTTTGATGTAGTTTTGGTCCATGTTTAAGTTTGCCAATTTTTCTGCTTATTCTCCTTGTCATTTGACAATTTCTCTCAATCATCTTATGAGTTCATACTTTAAACTTCTAATCATAGGTTGTTTTCCAGTAACTCCAAAAATGTAGCAAGATATTCTCCATTAATAATGATCCAGGACTACTCTCGCTCCTTAAGCATGAATCAAAGTCCCCCTTTCAGTTCGTTGGCTCTTTTCACAGATTCCCAAGAGTCTAACCCTACAATTATTTTGTTTTCAACTTACTGAAACCTACTTTCCCACTATCAGGGATGGTTCTAAAATTCCAAGAAAGGGCAGGAAATGAAAAACCAAGTTAGACAGGAGTGATCATAGTGACTAGGTCACTGATCATTCTCAGTGGATTCCTTCTGTTATGTAGAATAGAAATTAATCACAAGTAAGCAATAAGAGATTCCCATATTGAAACCAAATTTTGGGTGTGAGGGTTTCTATTCTTCCCTTTATGGACTCTTGACACATACATTGCTATCGGGCCTCCAAGTTCCTCCAAGGGATACCCTCTGTGCATCCCTCTCCTAGATTCAATGCGTTTCCCCTGGGCTCTCTCCCCCTTCCCTAGTTTAGTGTGATTGTCGGAGCAGACTTAATTGGATCCCTTGTGTGAGGAAAGGCCAATGCTGCCCTCTCCAGGATCTATGTGAAATTGCATACACTATCGGCTAGTGGCCTTCTAC